TTCTTATATGTCTCAATGTCTTCTTGATATTTTTGTGCAATTACGAACTGTCATCTACATAATAATAAAAACCAAATGTGTGTTTATTAGCATATCCTCAAAACCTAGGAAAATATTCTACATAATATATATTTAATACTTGTATTGAATTAATGATAAATATAAATTATTTAGAATGGAGAATGTGGCCAAAACTGTTCTCATCTAGCATATATCTATGGCCTAATGTAAGGTTACAAATGAAGGTAAATAAATTAGAAATACAAAAACAGGAACTTATCTAAGATACCACTAATAATCCACTGGTTATACATATACAAAGCTATAACTTTAATATTTAATGATTATTGCAGAAGGTGCACTGTCTTTGGTATACTCAAAGGATTACAGGGACTATGTGAACAGCCATGAATCCTGTATTAGAATTTACTTTAAAAGACCACAGCCTATACAGGTATATACACATATATAACATACATACATAAAAACACACACACACAGCGTGAATCATTGGGAATTTTTTGGACTAAACTTTTGCCTTGGAAAACAAGATGGCTTATGTAATCTAAATCTTTTATTTTACTATGATACTGCAAGGGTTTCTAAAACTATTTACCTTCCTATTAGAATTGAATTCAATATAATCCTGTGTGCAATTATTTTCAATTAGAAGTGGCATTCAAGTAGAAATACATTCTGCCCCATAGACTAATTTAGCTGTTATAATATAGTCACATAGCACAACATTGACATCTGGAAATGAAAACCTGCAAATTGGTTGCTTTCATGCTCAGACCACTCAACATCCTTTACTTTCAAATGTAGTTTAAATCCCCTATGTTTCTTATGTACATGTTTGATTATCACATTGAAATAGCTTTTGGGAGGGCACATTCCTATCTTATTCACTCTTGCATTGCATTTATCATGTCCTATCATAGCACTTTCATAAATAAGTACACATGCACATACATACAATATCTTCATCTGTTTTCAACTTCTAGAGTCTTTTCTCAACTGAATAGTATTTTCTACTCATTGAGGAAATATGTTTGAAGGATGTTATTAACTTGTGTAGACAGAGATTTGTCAAGAATGGGAAATTTTTCTTTAGTAATAGCAGGTATCTGATGGTACTTCAACATCTATTAAGAAAATTCCTTTGGCACAAATCAAAAGTAAGGGCATGATAAGGAATGTTTCAAATGCAATTAAGTCTTTCTCTTTTAGTTTATGACCCATGAGATTAAATTTCAGCATTATTATTTATAGCTGTTTTAAGACTGGCTCTCAAAACCATAACTTCTTTTTCAAAGTCTTATAGTAGTTACATTCTAAAATATTAATCAACAATATAAACTACTCTGAGATCCTCTGCAGTAAAAACAGTTGAAACAGTTCTAACAACAACATCCTCCACTCTGACATGAACAGGTAAATTAAAATTACCAGCTTTTCTTTACCTTTTCATTAATTCAGATAATTTTTCCAAAATGTGAGTTCTATTGATCAATTTGAATGGATAAGCATCAAGAATAAGTTATTTTCTACAAATATAACTTGGCTAAGTATAGTCAGAGTTGTTTCAGGAATAACAAATTTTGTTTCAACATTTTTCTGATACTTTTACAAGTATGAAAATATTAAACAGAAATCTTGTTTGTATACTGTAATTTTTGAAATTTTTATTTTCATACAGTCATAAATATTTAATAATATAAAGATGAATTTATTTGGATGCCCTCAATCCAATGACTCAAGGCGGCTGGACTTAAGAGCAACTCTAGTGATGACTCCGTTTCTTTCATTAACTCATATTTTGGGGCTGGGGATCAGGTTTTTCTGTAGTGATAAAGTGATACCTGGCTGTCAGCTCTCACATCAGAATACATACCTAGCACATTACTCTCCACACACTAGAAATAACATAAATAGAGTGAATTACAAAATTTGGATATACTCTGCTCTTTCTTAAATATAACCCTCTTATCACTTGTGTTCTGTGGGTGATCTAGAAACACAATTTCCTAAATACATATCCTGTGGTGAAGCTGAAAAGCAGACTTTCTGGGTGTCACTATAAGCCATGTGGCCTGTGGGAAGTTACTTCCTTCCTTAGGTTCCCTATGAATTAAGTGGGGATAATGAGATTGCTGTGAGGATAAAGTGAGTTAAACATCTAAAACATTTAGAAAAACAGTACGTAAATAATGTTAGCTATTTATTACCATTATTATTACTCTATGTATTAGATAAACTTCATGCAAGTCCCACCAAATCTTCTATTTTCTGTTCTGGGTGAAGATACAATTCTTTCAAATATCATTATGTAGAAAAATCCTTTCTGCTCTATTGTTTTTGATGTTACTCAAAATTAACACAAGTGACCCTACCCACCCATCATGATTTCTCTTTGTGAACTGTCTTTTTGTGTCATTTATCTCAATTCATGCCCATATGCTAACTACTCAATGTAGAGAGAGCCACAAGTTTATCACAACACTGGAAATTAGACTCTCAATTCTATTTTAAACTTGCTCACAATCTAATACCAGTCAAACTTTCTTTAGGTGTGAGAAAGAAATACTAGTTTGTTGTTTCCTCTCCATGACCAGTAAGTAGCTGTTTATAGCAAGAAGAAAATAACATGTAGAAAGAAAAACAGCTATATAAATTTATGAAAACTATTAGGGTTAGCAACATTTATTGAGGCATTTGGGGGGAAGAGAGAAGATATGTCTGATTCAACCCTAGATATTTGGGGGGGTAGTGGGTGGAGGAGGGTGAAAGGTGATTATGTAATTGTTACATAATCAATATTTTGCACAAAAGAGTTTCATAAATTTGTTTTTCTTGATGTGATCAATAACAAAAATCCTCCACATCACTACTTGAAGGAAGGTAGAAAAATATTTTTCAGGCTTATTCACCTTTTCAAAAAGTAACCATTATTCATGTTTAAAGTTCATGGCTTCAATTTCTCTTATCCCAGAGAAATTGTTTATCATTCTCACTTTGAAATCCTGAGTAGGTATTTCGAGTCTAGTTTGTCTTGCTTCTTTTACAACCCAAGGTTCCCTTACAGGTGCATTATCCACAGGTATATCTGGTATGGATGCTGTCGCCAAATTTAGTTTTCCAAAATTAGTCACAATTAAGAAGGAGCAACACAGGGTCTGATCTGATTCTTAAGCAAAGTTTCCACTAAGCTCTAGTAAATGTTTGAGTTCCTTCATGGGTGTGACTTGAGTAAGCATGCTGATAGCCTCATGGCTGAGGACACGGGCTATAGATTCACACTACATTATCTTGTCTTTCAAACACCTTCCCTGCTATTTACTGTCCAACCTCAGGAAAATTATCTGACCTTTTCTGAGCCTTGTCTTGTAAAATATCTTGTAAAAATACCTGCCTTGTCTGTAAAATGGATATAACTACAATATCTCTTTCATAGGGATATAGAAAGGAGCAAAGGCTGTAGGGAAAAAAAAAAGGCTATGTAAAGGAGAAATACATACACAGCTAATAAAGGAGTGTCCAGTGTATTTTAAATGTGAGGATTACTTGGAAATCTATCCAAAATTGTTTATTTCCCTCCATTCTCAGCTTTCTGATCCTACTTTGCATTTGGCTATATGGCATTACATCAGGGAATATAGTCTAAAGTAGCAAAATATAAAATAGTGAAATAGAGAAGAATAAATCTCATAGCAGAAATAAACTTTAAATTTGCTAGGAAACACAGTGTTAAGTTAAAAATCAAGGGTGGTAAAAATATATAGAGGGAGAGAGAAACAGAAAAAAAATTCATCTGACACCAAATAATGTGATCTGAACTGCCCTTGTTATGCCCTATTTGAGGCAATCCATGTGGCTGGATCATCAAAATCTCAAAGAAAACCAATTTATTGTATGCACATATATGAATTCTCTTTACATAAAATAAGACCCTGATGAATGAGGACATAAACTGAGTTTGATCATATAAGCATTATGCATGCAATTCTATTTCTCATTAGTGTCACAAGCTCACAGTTTGTGGAGCTATTATTTCTGTATTACTCCCTAAGACCAAGCATAAAGTGAAAAGGCCAGTCACTATACCTTATTTTTCCAGCCTTAATCTGTTAAAGCTATAACACTTAGAATATTTTTCACCTACTTAATAATTAAATTGGACTTACACCCACACAAAAGTGGTTTTTCTCTACTTTCTTTTAATAGAGAAACTACATTCATTTGGGTAACATGGCAATTTACATATTTTGTGAAATTTAGTGATTTTGTTTTTGAACTAGAAAACATAGCATCTCCAATCAAATTCTGAACTTTAGTGTTACATGGCACATCATGTGATTGATAAAATGCATGGGTTTCCAAGAGGAGAATGCAGCAAACTTCATGAGTTTCATGAAATTAAAATATCAGAACTAGAAGTTCCCTGGGAGATTTTCTAAAATATAATGGTACGCCTCCTTTAGTTGGCAGCGATCTGCTTCAGCAGTTTTCCATTTTTAACACTTTTTTTTCGTTTTTAAATAAATCTTTTGCTGGGATGAGATGAGGATCAAACCCAGGCCACTCCGTCATAGCACCCCATAATTTAAACTGTTCCTCCCCTCTCTCACCTCTCTTCCTTTGCCTGTTTCCAGCCTCTGAGGAATTCCTACCCCCCCCCAATACAACCTTTTGAAAGTTTGAAACCCATTATTGAAATCCAGCCCTCCTTTTTAAAGTCACATAAAGTAAAGGCCAGAAGAAATAAGAACATTCTCTAAAGCAACATAGTCATTTAGTAGACTATAATTTAGGTTTCCTGTCTTTTTGTTTTGAGTTTTGTAGTATATCCTCCTTATTTTAAGTAACTGACTATGAGTTCATATCTGCTTAAAGTTCTGAAAATTTGAAAATGCTTATATTTTCTTTTTTTATATATAGTAGATATAAGGCACTGAACTACATATGGAATTAATTCCAAAAGGATGCTGCTTTGTACTTACTCTTGTGTTATTTCTTTCAGCTTTAAGTTCAGATATTTCTTCTTCCTTTTCTAGAAGTTGTTCCCTGCAGGCATTTAATTCTTTTGTCAAGGCAGCAAATTCCTGGAAAAGTAATAAAAATATTTGAAGATCTATATAATATATAAAAGCAGAAAAAAATCAAAATATGAATTTCTGAATGAAAATAGGAAAAAAAATGGCCTAGTTGGTTGGTTAATATATATTGCTGTGTTTAAGGATCTTGATTCCATTGTGAACAAATGCTAATCCATAATATTTACCATATGTATTTTATTATAATATGCTGATTAGATGGGTGTATAAAATACATTTCAAGATATATCAGATACATCACCCTGAACTTAACATTAGTATGATAAATTATTGCTAGAATGATTTAAGTTTGGCTAATTTGTGAACAACTCCAAAAATCTTATACTTTAATTCATATACAGCAATGTTCAAAGTATAGATCATCAAAAAAATAACACAAAACACTGCTAAAGGTGCCATTTAGAGATTAAGAAGTTTATTTATTTGTTAACAAGATGAAGAAAGAGAATCTACCTGTCTTTTACAAGATAATAAACGTGTCTAAAATTTGATAACATTACCTAAGATTTTCTTACTAATTTATGTATTAGTCTTTCGGAAAGGTAAGCTCCATGTGGGTAGGGACTTTGATATGTTCAATGTCTAAGACATAGAGTCTGCTCAAATAGTATTTATTTTTAATAAATGAAAATGGGTCATATTGTTAACAAAAAATTGAGGGTCTTGGAGTAAACCTGTCCTCAATTGGTTAATGACACTGGAGGAATCTTCAGTGGTTTTCATCTCCAAAATGAGATCAGAGATCATAGGATATGTGTTTTTTTTTAACCAATAGGTGAAAAGTTTAGACGAAGAAAAGATTATTTAATAAGAAGATCAAAATTTTAAAAATGTTGAATGAAGTGACAAAAAAATGAAAACAAATGGAACCATTCTGCTACTCTAACTTACAAATATTTAATTTTTAAAAAACAGTAAATAGATGCATATTATCATTAAACTCTTTATAGCAATTCTTAGTAGTAAAATTGATGCTCACCAAATATTTAAGTATTTGGGAAAACTTGGTTCCAGGCTGAGAGGGCACTCAGATCAAAAAGAAAAAAGAATGGGGGAGACAGGTTTAGGTTAGATTAGGTTAACCTAATCTCCACAAAGACAAATTTAGTGGAAAGTACATAAATATGATGATTATGCAAAGCTGGGAAAGGTTTGGGGTTTATACTTTTGAGTGCTTCAAGCCATTTATTTTGCTTAGTTTCTTTAAATGGCTTCAGCCCAAGTGGGTATTTCAAAGATCTCAGAGCAGACTTTAGGACTTAGACTCTAGATGAAAGAGTTCATTGTTACATTTTGTCCAACATTACAGATAAATGTTTTCTCCCCTGATTGCTGCCTTCTTAAATGTTGTTGATATTCTGAGTATATTATTTAGTTGGAGAATGGAAATAAGCAACAAGTAGAAAACAATAATTTTTTTCTCTGAAAAGTGAAACTTTCTTCATATACTGACTGCATAGTTTTGATGGAGAAAAGAAGTGACATAAAGTTTCTGTATTATGTATTATTAACATACAGGCATTTAAAAATAATCTTATACTCATATATATTATATTATTGACTATAACAAAGCATAAATCAAATCTGTACATTTAATGTCATACCAATTATAAAAAACATTTATCTGTATCTATCTTTCTAGGGACTTAGCTTGCTATCTATAGAAAGAAAAAAAATTGGAAAGAAATATTTCAGAATTTTAACATTAGATATCTCCACATGGTGAAATTATGATTTATTTTTGGTTTGTGGTTTCCTTCAATGTATTTTTATCAACAAAACTGTCTATAAGGGAGAATGTGCTTTTGTGCTTAGAGAATTAAAGAAAATATAAATCAATAAGTGCTTTGAAACAATCACATATTTAAAAGAGAAGACAGAAATTAGTCAAGATGCTACTGGTGACAGATGGCTTGGCCTTTTTTGTCATCATGGCATTGATTCTGAGCAGGCTATTTAGTGGCTCCATGTGTTAGGATTAGTCTTACATTTGTCAACTTTCTAACAGATATAAGGCGCTATTTTTACATTCATTATTTCACTTTCCTCTTTAAATACCTAAGGAGGGAATGCCCTTCCTATCTTATGGCTGAGGAAACTGATAAACTATGGGTTTAAGTTCACAAAGCTCACAAGTCATTGGGCATGAGTTATTCTGAGCATCATTCTCTAGACTATAAGTCTAATGCTTTCTATCATATCATTTTGGACCTAGTTGTTCATTGGGTTTATGTGCTTTAGATTTGGTGTGCACTTTGCAGTGCCCTCTTTTCTGAAGCATTAAATAACTATTACTAAAATCATCTTGCACAATCCCCCTTGAATAGTCCAATGAGAGTGTGGGGAATTAGGAGGCCCAAGGGTATTCCTTTCATACAAGTCAACAAGTGTTAGACAAGTATGTCCTACGCATCTAGGACTGCAATAGATGCAGATACTCCACATGGAATTATTCACCAAACATTATTACACTTTTCCTCTGACAGTTATTTTTGTACCTATGGCTCCATTCTTACTGTCATCATGAACTGAGTCTTCCATCATCTTATAACAATAACAGCAAAGTTAGTTAACATTGAGCCCTTACAACATGCCGGGTACTCTGCCAAGCAATACATATTGATTATATCAATAATTCTAGTAAACACACTGTAAGAAACTACTAAAACCTCACTGGAGGCCTAGAGAAGTTAATTAATTTGCCCAAAGTTACACACTTAGTCAATGGCAGAGCTGGGCTTTGAGAATCCAGGCAATCAATCTCATATGGGAGGATTACAACGGGTTGTTCTTTTCCTCCTGACCATAGGCTTTCTCCTTCTAATTTGTCCATCAATCTTCATAAAAATTACATCTTTCCCAAGCTAATGAAACTTTCAGAGATTCCTACTTCCAAACATGTCAAATTTAAACCAACTTTAACTTTTAAAATTCATACCATCCAAAACATGACCCTTTCACTATTATTTAGCTTTCTTACAGAATATTAGCAGCTACCACATTGAGCTGGTGGTACTTTGTTTTTCTATGCCCTTTGTTTTTTAAGCATTTTACATGAATTATTTCATCTGTTCCCTATTTTTTAGATGGGGATACTGAAACTTACCAGTTTGAATAATTTGCTCAACTGGGCAAATTATTATTTAAAAAATGACTCATCCTATCTGATTCTAAAACTTCTGAATTTCTGCAACATTACTTTCTTCTGGATGAAAATGGAAAATCTCTCAGAAAATTTCTGAACCATACTAAATTTATCGTTCCTCTACCTATCTATCCATCCACACAACATTTACTGAGCACCTACAGTATATCAGACCCTGCGCTAGGTGCTGGAGGTATAAAGATAGCTTAGACATAGTTGTTGCACTTGACTCAGAACTTTCAGAATTCACATTTGAGGCCCATCAGAAATTTTCTTCATTAACAAACACTCAAAACCCATCACTGAAGTGCCACACCCACAGTAATACTAGTTTCCAGCCTTGGAAATACTGTCAATTTAGAGGTGACTCTGCTCTTTTGTATCCTCCTTCTTAGAAGATCTATCGTCTGCACCTACTACCACATATTTCTCTTTTCTGTTTCCATTTCCACCTTTCTATTTTCTCATTTCTATTTTTTCTATTTCTTTCATGTACTATCCCTTATGCCTGGAATATTCCAGCCCATCTTCCCTGCCTAGTTCCTTTTCTAAAGTACCAGTTTGCCTTGTTAATGCTCTGGGATACCTAATTGTATTGTATAATTGAATTATATGTTTATCTCTTTCAAATAAACAATATGATCATTTAAGGAAAGGTTGTCACCTTATTTATTTTTATATCCTCAGGTCTTAGCTCAGTTCCTGGAAAATTGAGTAAACACTCAATAAATCCTTGTTGTGAAACTAAATAAATCACTTGCTTTCTCTATATTTTTGACTTTAATAACAAAATGGTTTTGAAAAGATATTATCAGAGTTCTTTTTCTCCTTGAGTGAGATCATTATAACTTGCTTAATATATAACAGATATAATATTCTTTTTACTTTGTGGCTGGTATTTTTGTCTTTGTTTGAAATATACTGTCTATATTCTATATAATAATGGCATTACTGTCTGCCATGTTTTATTGCATGTATATAAAGTGATACAATGATTACCTGAAAACTGCTAAATTCAACAAAGTATTCAGCAAAGCTTCTGTGATCTTGGTAGTTTCTGCAAAGAGGTTTGCAGAATGTCTCCAAGTTAGGAATAGGCCAGCTCTAGCACTAACGCTCATTATCATGAAAGCATAATGCTGCGATATAAATATTTGTGCTGGATGCAAAGATGGTAGAATGAATGAGAGCATGTGTACCTGAGAAAAAGCAAATGAAGAGGAAGCAATAGTGAAAATATTTTCTATTCCTTAGTGCTTAGGGCCTATTGCTGTGAATAATTCATGCATTCAGATTTATCCATTGCTCATTGTATGCATCAAATTGGTCTTATTCATTCTTAAAGTTAAAATACATATTTAACCAATATGTTAGTTCTCTAGTATATCATTGCTCAAACTATGTTCTTACAAAAGTTTTTCTACAAGATTCCCAGAAAAAAAATCCACTGGGAACAATCTGCATTCCCATCTATAGGAAGATGGATGAAATAAATATAGTAAATGCATATGATGGAATATAATGCAAAGGGAAGAATAAACATGTTAGATCTTAGTACATACAACAGGCAAAGATTTAAAAATATAATTTTGACTGAAAAAAGTAAGAAATAGAACACAATGTATAACAGAGTATTATCAGACACTGAAGGCAGTGAAAGATGAATGTTAGAAGGAAACTTCATTCACACTTCACCATGTCCAAATTAAAAGGAGTCTATAGAAAAAGCTAAGTTTGCTTCAAATCACTGAGACAGGAGGAGCAGATCAGCTTCCAACCACCAGTCACATTTAACAACTTTTAAGACTAGTTATTTTGTTCCCGAAACATAGTCTGCCAATTC